CGTTCCTCCGTTCCACGTTCCACGTTCCTCAATTCCACGATCCAATATATTCACCGTCTCCTCCGTACCGCTTTATGCAACCTGGGAACAGCAAATCGCGCTTGAATAATCAGCTACTCGATAAGAGACGGAAGGGAGAGGATTCGGAGAGTAATTGGAAGGAAAAGGGGACGCCAATACCTGTTCTTTTCGGGCGGTTGAACTTGCGTCTCAGGTAGATATGGCCGAGACCAGGTGCTCGTTCTGAACAATCCGTCCATAGTTTGGGGGGGGGGGGAATCTTGGTGAACATGGTGGAGGGGAGAGGGCCGTCTTTTTTCTTTTTTTTCCTTCTGTTTCTTTTTTCCTTCTGTCGTCCGTCGACTGGGATGCACTTCTCTGCTCGTCCCTTCCTCTTTTCTGTTTTTTTTTCTTCTTTTTCTTTTCTTCTTCTTCTTTTCTACTTCTTTTTTTTTTTTATGGTGGACTTTCTCAGTTCGTTACTTCTTCTGCCTTCCCTCCGTTCTTGTCTCTTTCTTTTTGTTTTAGTTTTTCTTGTGATTTCTACCTGTTCTTCCTTTCTTCACTTTGTTTCGCCTCTTGTCCTTCCCTCCTCTCTCTTACCTCCTGGTTAGCCTTCTCCCCTTCTTCCTCTTTTATCCTGATACCCTTCTTATTCTCTCCTCCACCTCCCCTTCCCCTCCTCTCTTCCCAAACACCCACGTCCCTCTTCTCCCATTCCACTGCCAGTTATTCTTACCCTTCTTTCTGTCGTTCTCCCTCTCTCACACCTTCCCTCCTCTCTCTCACCCTCTAGTTATCCTTCTCTCCCCTTCTTCCTTTTTTTCGTGGTGTCCTTCTTATTCTATCCTCTACCTCCCCTTCCCTTCCCCTCTCTCCTATCACCCACGTCTCTCTTCTCCGATACCACAACCAGTTATCCGTCTCCTTCTTTCATCCTCATTCTCACACTCAACCTTCCTTCCACTCCCTCACTTTCTAGTTCCTCTCTCCCCTTTCCTATTTCTCCACCTTCTCCCCCTCTCACCTAATCCCTTTCCTCCAATTCACCAGCCAGGTATCATTATTTTTCTGTCGTTCTCTCCTCTCACACTTCAACCTTCCTTCCCCTCTCTTATCCTCTAGTTATCCTTCTCTCCCTTTCTTCCCCTCTCTCCTCCGCCTCCTTCCCCCTCCTTCCTCCTCACATCACATCCCCTCCTCCAATTCACCAGTCAGGCATCCTTCTTTTACTGTCGTTTTCCCTTCTCCTGCTCCTCTTCTCCTTCCTCCACTCTTCACCTTTGTCCTTCTCTCCCCTTCTCCCCCCTTCTTCTCCATCTTTCCCTATCTTTTCTCTCCATCACATCCTTCCCCTCCCATCCCAGGTCTCCTTCATCTTTCTCTTCGTTCTCCCTCTCTCACACCCAACCTTCTTTCCTCTCTCTCACCCTCTAGTTATCTCTCTCCCCTTTCTTCCCCTTCACTCTCCTCCTTCTCTCACCTCCTCTCACTCCACCACACCCTCCCTCTCTAACCTCCTCCATCCTCCCTCCCCACCACACACACACAGCAGACACGTGCAGCTAAAATCTTGGCATTCACCTTGGCCTATAGACTCCGGCTCACTGATCGGAATCGGCCGCATCAGAGGGTAAAATTACACGAACATAAACGGGGAGGGCGTTGGGGAGATGGGTCACGGCGAGGGCGTTGGGAGATGGGTCACGGCGAGGGCGTTGGGGAGATGGTCACGGCGAGGCGTTGGGGATGGGTCACGGCGAGGGCGTTGGGGAGATGGGTCACGGCGAGGGCGTTGGGGAGATGGGTCACGGCGAGGGCGTTGGGAGCACGTTGGGGAGATGGGTCACGGCGAGGGTGGCACGGCGAATGGGTCACGGCGTCTTGGGAGATGGTCACGGCGAGGGCGTTGGGGAGATGGGTGGGGCGAGGGCGTTGGGGAGATGGGTCACGGCGAGGGCGTTGGGAGAGGGTCACGAGGAGAGATGGGTCACGAGGGCGTTGGGAGATGGCGGCGAGGGCGTTGGGGAATGGGTCACGGGCGAGGGCGTGGGGAGATGGTCACGGCGAGGGCGGCGTGGGTGGGAGGGAGGTCACGGCGAGGGCGTTGGGGAGATGGGTCACGGCGAGGGCGTTGGGAGATGGTCACGGCGACACGGCGAGGGCGTTGGGGAGATGGGTCACGGCGAGGGCGTGGGGAGATGGGGGCGAGGGCGTTGGGGGATGGGTCACGGCGAGGGTTGGGAGATACGGGTCACGGCGAGGGCGTTGGGGAGATGGGTCACGGCGAAGGGCGTTGGGAGATGGGTCACGGCGAGATGGGTTTGGGGAGATGGTCACGGCGAGGGCGTTGGGGATGGGTCAGGCGGGCGTTGGGTGACGGCGAGGGCGTTTGGGGAGATGGTACGGCGAGGCGTTGGGAGATGGGTCACGGCGAGGGCGTTGGGGAGATGGGTCACGGCGAGGGCGTTGGCGATGGGTTGGCGAGGGCGTTGGGGAG